AAAAAGACTCGTTATCGCGTCTCGATTATTCAGTAAATTTGCGATAAGTAGTCCGTGGAAGCGCACGAAGCTTAGTGGAAAAGGGAAAAGGGAAGAGAGAGAGAGAGAAGGAGAAAAGGAAAGAGGAAAAGAGGGAAACGTTAACAAAATGCCTTCCATTCCTTCGAACGCGATTCGCATTACCACGGTGTAATCTTTCTCGCATGCGATCGTAAATCACCCCACTCTGATCGCCAAGACCGTGGTAACGTGAAATTTCCTTCGAACAGATACAATATATAACGTATATAAATATATATATATATACATCCAGAGATTGTATAAAATTATAGAAATTGTTACGACGAAGTCGCGATGTAGAGCTTAATTTGTCCGTACGTTTTTCCGCATAAGGAACCCTAGTCATGCAGTGGAGGGGGCGTATCGTTTAAACTAAGGATCAAGCACCATTATTCGGGGGCTGGAGACACGAAAGGGGCAGTGAGGCAGAAAAACAATTGTACATAATTATATAGACGTTAATTGTATATTGTTAAAGCGAAAGAAGGGGGATGAACGTGGGGGAAAAGAGAAGAGAAACTTGAGCGAGCGAGCGAGCGAGAGAGAGAGAGAGAGAGAGAGAGAGAGAGAACGATCTTTTTATATAAAATAAAAGTAGATTTTTTTTAGATGTTTCTAACACGAGATTGATACTCGTACCTTCAACATTATCGATGTTGACGTACGATAACGATAAGTAATTGAAATGCTTGAACGCGAGAACATCGTTCTTCTTGCAAAATTATTCGTTCGTTCTGACTGCGAAGAAGGCAATATCTTTGTTTCAAAAGAAGAAGAAAAAGAGAAGAAGAAGGAGAAGAAGGAAACAATTTAAATTTAAAATATGGTCTACAAGGGAATTAACGGAGATATTTTTAATTGAATTATTATTAATTAAGTTATACTTTTTATATACCACTGTATATCTTTTAAGCTATGTATATCTTTTATAATATCTATCTATACATTATGTATAATCTATTGAGGATAACACGAATCTTGTTACATTGTCTCTCGATTGATATTTTATATACGCGTTTCGTTCTATTGTAACTTGAATTGGTGATGGTTTAAAATCGATAATCAAGAAGTTCGGAGTCGTTACACGCACTCAGTCGGAATATATGACTGCGGGGAAGGGAGGGGAAAAAAAAAAAAAAAAGAAAAAAATCTCGAATCTCTCGTACAAGCGAAATTAAACGAAATAATTCCGCGGAAAGAGTATTATATAGAGCAGATAACCTGCAATTTATTTTCATCGGCTTGCATAGCGATATATAGATGTCGGTCTGTCGATCATTACGTCCAATTTAATCACCGATGGCAGGTAGATTCGTCAATTCGCGAAAAATCGTTGGCGTGAAGATTTTTATACGCGCCGTTTAAACTCTCGAATGGAATACAAAATAGTTCAATAATCGGTTAACCAGAAGGGTACAGAAGCGAGGATCGTCGACAAAAAATTGTTTCCAAGTAGCTGCGTTAATGTGCCTCTACGATCACCCGTGCGTCTACGTTCCACGATTAAATTAACAACGACGTGACGAGATTTTTTTGGACGGGAGAAATTGGAAGAAGAAGGAAGAGGAGGAAAATTTTTGCGCGATGAAAGAAATATCGGTTGTTGTCCTTGTCTCTCTGTACGTCGACTACGATATAAGGAAAAAGAGAAAAAGAAGAAAAAAAAAAAAAATACACGCTTCTAGAACAAAATTTTTACTCGCGTTACGAACTTAGCTTCTTAGGGACAATTCTACCTACTACCTACGCCGATTCAACTACGCGGAAAAAAAGGACAATTTTGCGAATAATTGAAATTATACGCGTCGGATCATCGCACGCGAAGCTTTGCGCCAAATTTTGCACTTGATTAAAAACAACGCGTAAACACAGTCTTCTCTCTCGCGTAATGAAATCGTCGTGTCGTGTACGAGTTTGCATCGTTTGCATGATATTTAGATCCGATGTGGACCAACGGATGCGATTTTGTTGCGATTTCGTAATTGCGCCATCCGTCAGATTTGTGATCGCCGCCTGTTTGACCGTTGAACTACACGTATTTGTAACATTTAACGGGATATCGAGGATGAATATATATATATATATATATATATATATATATATATATATATATATTAATAANAA